AAAAAAAAAAAAATAAGGAGGGAGAATTTGTGAGGGGGTGAATAGAGCAGAAGGAGACTTTACTAACGTCTTTCACTTATTCATTGCTCCCCAGCATGCTTAAAGGTGAGGTTTAAGGATGCTTAAAGGTGAAGTTTTTTTCTTACCCCACAGTAGTGGCTTTTGACATTTGATACCTTTGCTCTTCAAGGTGTGGGTGCTCTTTCCTGTACAGCCTAGTGCCTTACAGGAAAGAATTTCAGAGCAATTAAAATGCGTTAGTAGTATTGTTGTTTTATTCCATATTTCAAGTAGTGTGATGGTACTACTTAACAATGAACAGACACTGCTGTTCCGGGTTAACAGGACCAAGAATTTGTTCCTAGATTCGGTCAGCACCAAGGCTAACGAACAGCTTCACTTTCTAATCGGTCCACGAAATAGCTGTCACCTTGCTCCGGTGCTGAAGTTAGGAACTCGGAACCAACTGAGCATGCGTACTTCCTCCCAGCTGGGGCTCCCTCCGTCTCGGTGGCTCCGCCCTCCGTGGACGTGCTGCGTCAGAGTGCGTCTCACCCCTGGCGACCCCGGAAGTGGGTCGGGGGCTTGGCCTCTGCCCGGCCGCAGAGCTGGGGCCGGAGGTGCTAGCCTGTCCCGCGGTAAACCCCGGGCAAAGCCCGGGGCACGGGTTTCAAGATGCTGAACGTCCCTTCCCAGTCTTTCCCGGCCCCCAGGTCTCAGCAGCGTGTCGCCGCCGGGGGGCGTAGCAAGGTAAGCGGGTGACTCCTTGAGTCTCGCCCCTAGCTGCGTTTCGGCTCCGGCAGTGTGTTCTCTTTTTCCGCCCCCACTCCCGCCTCTCGTCCCCCTCTCTAAGCTGTAGTTCCCTGCTGTCCTTGCCTGCAACCTCTTTCTGATCCCACTGTGTTTATAGTCCCTAAACTCTCCTAACCTCCCTCCTTTTCCCCTAATTGCCCCTCTTCTTTCTGGTGCTTTATCCCGCTCTGTCCGTTACCTTCAAATCCTTTCCCGCGAATTAAATTTAAATCTATGTGGCAGAGTGAGGCACTGTGCTTGCGTTATTATAGGCACTCGGTATTAGCCTCCTTCCTACAACCTCATCTCCCTGGCCTTTTGTTCTTCACTGCCCGAAGGAGTTGTACCACATCACTCAGTGTGGGTTCCCTCGCAGGAAGGAAAGGCTTGACAGTGGCGACAGTGACCGTCCCTGCAAGGATGGGGACTTCTGGAGCTAGGGGAGCTAGGACAGACACTCTCCAGGTCATACTGTCTTCTTTCTTTCTTACCCTGATTGTTTTGTCATTTCCTTTCCTGCCTAGTATCACATGCTAACTTGGAAGCAAATATGATACTCTTGAGGTTTTTCTTGAGCACACTGTTAGCAACAGGTGGAATACTGTACAAATATATTTTATATTTGTAAAATTCAATAAAAAATTGTGTTCTGCGTTCTTTTGCAAATGTTGTTTGTTCCTATTTGTTACTTCCTCATTCTGTAACCATATCTTTGTTTGTGACACTTCCACCTACTTAGACCACTCATTAACTCTTGCGTCTTAAGATCATTTGGAACCCTCATCGATTTTCTTATTTTTCTCCACTTAGACCTGGCGTTCTAATACTAGTTCAGAATGAATGTGGGTTCAGGGATCTGTAGTTTTCATTAGCTTTTCAGAGATTTGTTAAGTACTTACAGGTGGCCATGTATATTCTCAGTGCTTTACGTGTATTAACTTTAATCTTCACGATGATTCTGTGAAGTGAAGGCTTTTGTCTCTTTCACAGAAAAGGAAACAGGTTTAAGAAATGTTGCCTTAAATTGCGTAGGCTTGTGATGTGGTTCTGCTGTGAAATTTCGTTTACTGATTGATTATATCAGTCATCTCACCATCCAGTCATATGTATTTTCCTCACTGGTTTTTGACCTATTTCTTGAAACTAAATACTTGGCTGAATAACACAGTCTTTCCAGAGAGAACCTCTGAATGAGAATATGAGTTGCTTCCCTTCTCTGTTAAAAATACCAACTATGTTCTTAGCATCCATTTAAAGGAGAAAACTTAGAAGCAAAGACAAAATGTCACACAGGTGGCGATGGCAAAGGTGAGTCTTTGGTCCAAAAAGAGAACAAAATAAGATTTTTGTACAATTCAAAGGAAAACTCAGACTTCATTCTTTTCCCTCTTTTCTTTTCTTGGCTTCCCAAAGTGGTGGGATTACAGGCATGAGCCACCGCGCCCTGCCAAATTGTAATTGTTTAAAGGCACAGATTTTGAAGTGAGGAAGACCTTATTCTTTCACCATATTTCACACTTAATCTCTTTGAGTCTGTTTCCCCAGGTGTAAATAAGAATAACACCCATTTTATAGGATTGTTCATAGGATTCGATGAGATAATTGAATATTGGTTGAGAAAATAAAGCCTCATTGGGAAGGTTGTGTATTATGCAGCAGGCCCTCAAATAATGTGATTTCATTCAAGATCATTTAGTTATAATATTGATAAGGAAAAAATATCTGTTTTCAGCTGGGGCCACTGTCTTTGGAGTTTGCGCGCTCTACCTGTGTCTGTGTGAGTTGTCTCTGGGTATTCTGGTTTCCCCTTACAGCCCAGAGATGTGCAAGTTAGGTTAATTGGTGTGCCTAAATGGTCCCAGTTTGCGTGAGTGTTGGGTGTGTATGAGTGTGCCCTGCAATAGGATGGCGTCCTGTCCAGGGTCGGTTCCCGCTTTGCGCCCTGAGCTATTGGGATAGGCTCTGACTACCTGTGATGTTGAACTGGAATAGTTGGGTAATAATTATCGTACTTGTTTTTTAATTTTTCTTAAATGTATATATATAGCTAACATTTATTTCAATGTTTAGTATTAGAGGTATTTTGGTCTTTATTTAGAAGTCTGGTGACGTTTTTGTGACCAGAAATATGCTGTACATAGTTTTGCTTTAAGTCACAGTTTCCAAGCACCTATTGACCAGTTTAATTAAGGGCGTATTGTAATTATTTTGTTTTGTTTTTCTGAGATGGAGTTTCACTCTTGTCGGCCAGGCTGGAATGCAATGGCATGGTCTCAGCTCACTGCAACCTCCGCCTCCCGGATTCAAGCAATTCTCCTGTTTCAGCCTCCCAAGTAACTCGAGTTACAGGCACACCCGGCCAATTTTTGTACTTTTAGTAGAGACAGGGTTTCACCATGTTGGCCAGGCTGGTCTCAAACTCCTGACCTCAGGTGATCCACCTAACCTCAGGTGATCCACCTGCCTTGGCCTCCCAAAGTGCTGGGATTATAGGCATGAGACACTGCACCCAGCCAAATTGTAATTGTTTAAAGGCACAGATTTTGAAGTGAGGAAAACCTGTATTCTTTCACCATATTTAACAGTTAATCTCTTTTGGTCTGTTTCCTCAGGTGTAAATGAGAATAACACCCATTTTGTTGGATTGTTCATAGGATTCAGTGAGATAACGTTTCTCTTAGCACAGCCTTGGTAAGCACTCAGTAAGTGCTGCTTGCCTTGAGGCTTTTATTCAGATCTCACAGATTTGAGTCTGACACAGAATATGCACTCAACGTATGAAAGTTATTATTTCTATTAATGCTTGTAAACAAATGCTGAGTTTTGTGATCTTTGATTTCAAGATGTTTAGTCTCCTAGATTACATGGAATAGTGAACATTCAGTTACAATGTCATAAGTACTACAAGAGAGTGTTATGACCACGAAGGAGATGGGGGTCAGAGAAGCCTTCCAGAAGAATTAATGGGAGTTGGGATGAAGTTGATCTGTGCAGAGAATGCCGCACTACCTTAAGCAAGTACTTGACAGCAATCAAGGAATCAAATAATCAGTTCCCATTTGGCTAAGGCATATAATGGAGAGGAGCAAAAGTTAGAACATGGAGCGAGTATGGTCAACTATGACCAGATTGTGAGGACTTGTTAAATCCCTAGGGAATTTAGAGATGTTATTATAAGGTAACCTGAGGAGCCACCGAAGGAGGGCGAGCCTATGATTAGGTTTGCATTTTTGAAAGATTGCTTTAACTATCCTGTGGATTATGGAATGGAGAGAGGTGAGTGACTTTAATTTGGGATGGGAAAGATCACTTTCTCTTACTTCATTTATTGGAATCAAAAGACCTAGAGAGTTTCAGTGATAGCTAGAATGGGATGATATAGTTTGATAGGATGGAATGTGAAAAGCACCACAGACTTATTAACTTGGTTACTTTGGGGGTAAATGGATGTCTAAAATAGGTATGATTCAGGAAAGTGAAATATATAAACGTCCATGAGTGTGTCTGCTTTTACATTAAACATTCTTCTGGTACTACATTGCAAATAAGTTGGACAAGCTTAGACAGTTCCATAGAGATACCATGAAAATTTTCCACTACGTTGTTTTAATTGGCTAACGTACTAATAATACTTATCTGAAAACTTTGAAAATGTATTTTATATATAAAAAAAAAATAAAAACCCAAACCATCCTGTTATTAAGTTCCCTAGGCAAGGGTTGGCACATTTTTTTTCTGCAAAAGGCCAGGTGGTATTTTCAGCTTTGAGAGAGCCTCATAAGGTTTCAGGCTCTTCACCACATTTGAAGATAATTCTTTACTCAAGAGCTGTATAGCAACAGGTGCAGGCAGTAGTTTGCCAACCCCTTCCCTACAGTTTTATAGTTTTATTATTTTACATTATTTGATAAACTTTGTTACTCAGAGGATTCTTAGATAATATTTCTGACTAATGATTTCTAATAGTCTTTATAATGACAATCCAGAAAATCAACTGTAGCTAATTGTTTCTTTATCTTTTCTTCTGTTAAATCTCTTTTGATTTTTAAGGTGAAGAAATTTTGGTCCAAACTGGTGACTATAACAGATTAATGTCAGAGCCAGGACCAGAACCTGTTTTCTCATTTCTGGTTCAATGCCATTCCTGTTATATGGTCAGCCCTCTGTAGCCCTGGGTTCCACGTCCAAGGATTCAACCAACTTTGGATCAAAAATATTTGGGAAAAAAATTAATAACAATACAACAATTTAAAAAATAAGAATTATAAAACAATACAATACAACAGCCCCTTACATAGCATTTACATTGCTTTAGGTATTATTAGTAATCTAGAAATTACTTGAAGTATATGGGAGGATGTTCATAGGAATATGTCAGTACTTTGCCATTTTATATGAGACACTTGAGCATCCTGGATTTTGGTATAGGGTAGGGGAAAGTCCTGGGACCAGTCCCTAATGGATATTGATGGACTACTGTACCCTGACATCAATATGGTGAAAATTTGTGTGATAGAATTTCTAAGCCCTACATTTTATAATTCAAATACAGCAAAAACAATATTGACAGCCTTTTAAAGCTGTAAAAAGATTTGTAGAATTGTTAGATTTGAGTTTTATTATCTTTTAAAATGGAATTAAAAGTAATGAAGCAGCTAGATTTAATTCTTCCCTTTTCCTTTTTCAGGTACCTTTAAAACAAGGCAGAAGCCTTATGGATTGGATTCGATTGACCAAAAGTGGAAAGGATCTAACAGGATTAAAAGGCAGGTTAATTGAAGTAACTGAAGAAGAACTTAAAAAACACAACAAAAAAGACGATTGTTGGATATATTAAGCCCTTCAAAAAAATGCTGCCTAGACTTTCCAATTATGATGCTATGTAACTTCACAGTCATATTATTTTAAACAATTCGCAATTAACAAAACTATGCCTTGTGCTGGACAATAAATTATTTAATTCTGACTTTGGATAGTATTTCTTCCTTAAGCAAGCATTATATTCTGATGGAAAAAACAGTGAACTTCTGAAATGAAAAACTTTTCATGCTTCCCTGTACTGCATTTTCTTTGAAAGGAAACAAGCATTTGCCAGGCAATGTAGTACAACATTATTTGGTAACATCTGGTTTATATATCAATAGCCCTCTGTCTCCGAGCCTTAGAACAGAATTCTGCTGGAAAAAAAAAAAAAAAAATTCTGAGAATCTGAAGTAAACCTGAAAGTCCTGCATTAAAGCCAAATCTTCAGTTTTCACTTGCAGCAATTTTTGTTACATGGTATATGTTTCTTAGCAATATTAGTTACTTGATTTTGTATAGCTCAGAGTCAATTAGAAACTCCAAATTAGATATATATGTATTGGAGGAGGTGAGCAGAGAGACAAGAGGGTAGCTGGTAACAGCTGGCTTTGTGGTAGCCAACAACCTGACTTCTGGGAGGGGAACAAAAATAATGAAAGGCATGCATTTACATCAGGCTCCATACATGGTTAATTGTGTTTACCATCTGTTTAAAGAAGAAGGAAAATATATCATTTTTGTTCTTAATGCAGTTGTAATTTTATCATTGTGTAATTTTGGTTTGTTGTCAGTTATCCTGACTACACTGTAATCTATATGAGGGCAGGGACATTGTGAGTCATATTGCTCTGTCCTTAGGGCCTGGCATATAGAGGCCATTGACTTGTGTTTGTTCAATGAGTATAATACTTATTTTTAAGAAGTATGATTACTGAAATAGGTATGTGGTGGTTTCCACAGTGGACTGGTGATATCAACAGATATCAACACCAATAAATGCTGTATTAGTTTCCTATGGATGCCATAACAAAGGACCACAAACTAGGTGGCTTAAACAACAGAAATTTCTCTCATAGTTCCCATAGCTAGAAGTCTATGATCAAGGTGTTAGCAGGGTTGGTACCTTCTGAGGACAGAGTAACAGTTTGTTCCATGCCTCTCACCTTTCTGGTGGTTTGCTGGCAATATTTGGAGTTCCTTGGCTTATGGAACATCACCCTAATATCTGACTTCATCTTCATGTGGCATGTTCCCTGTGTACTTGTCTGTGGCCAGATTTTCTGTTTTCATATGGACACTAGTCATACTCGATTAGGGGCCTTCCCTACTCCAGTATGACCTCATCTAATTTTATGTCTGCAACAACCCTGTATGCGAATAAGGTCATATTCTGAGCTACTGGTGGTTAAAACTTCAATATATAAATTTGGGGGGTTGCAATTCAACCCATAACAGACAATTTAGAGTGTGAAATTTTCAATAGCAAAGGATATGGAAACTTCCAGCAGGTGATGACGTAGTTTGTTTTGAGATATAACAGGTGTTCAGCTCCCCAAAGTTCCTTGGAGACATACAAATGTACGTGGTACCAGCAATCTGGAATGAGGATTCTGGCAGGGGCAAAAGATCCTTTTGACATTTTATAGGGTTTTTGCCACCCTGTTTAACTCCCCTTCATGCTCCCTACCTGTTGACCAGCTGCAAGTAACTGGTACAAAATGACTTCCCTATTGTGCCTGAGTGTTTTCTGTTAGACTGGGTGAAGTCAAGATTAGTTTCCCAAGAGCATCTTTCAGCTGGCCCAGTCTGCAGGCATGCCTGAGCTCTGTTTCTGCACTAGGAAACCAGTTCTTCAGGAAACTTGAGTGTGTGAATCCCTCATATCCTAACAATGTTAGATAATTGAGGCATTATTAGAATACAGTTACACTTTATTATTCATATGATGTATTGATGGTGATAAGGGACTGAATTGCTATGTTTGAAAAGTAATATAGGTTGAGTATCCCTTATCCAAAATGCTTGGGATCAGAAGTATTTTGAATTTTGGAATTTTTCAAATTTTGGAATATTTGCATTATATGCTTACTGGTTGAGCATCCCAACTCCAAAGATCGGAAATCTAAAATGCTCCATTGAGTGTTTCTATTAAATATGTTGGAGCTCAGAAAGTTTCAGATTTTGGAGTATTGCAGATTTATGAATTTGGGATACTCAACCTCTATACTGCTCCCAGTTCTATATTCTCTGTAATGATTTGAATGTATTGCATTTTGTCTGGTAAGGTGGTTGATTTAATCATGAAGTTTTTTTTTTTTTTTTTTTAAGAGACAGGATCTCACTTTGTTCTTAGGCTGGAGTGCAGTGGCTCAATCTTGGCTCACTGCATCCTTGACCTTCTGGGCTCAAGTAATCCTCCTGCCTCATGCTCCTAAGTAGCTAGGATGACAAGTGTGCACCACCATGCCCAACTATTTTTTTTTATGTTTTTGTAGAGAGGATCTTGCTATGTTGCCCAGGCTGGTCTTGAACTCCAGGCCTCAAGCAGTCCTCCTACCTCAGCCTCCCAAAGTGCTGGGATTATAGGCATCAGCTACCATGCCTGAGTTTGAATTTTTTAGAGGTTTCTGCTGGGGAACATGTTCTACTCTATCAATAGTGAAACATTTTCCTCTTTTTGTAGAAATAAGATGTGTCTTTTTTACCTTTTTGACAGAGTTTGGTCTTTTATTTTTATCAAGAAACACTCAGTTTAGATCCCGCTCATGGAGGAAGGATAGATGACTATTAGAAAACAGGCAGGACGAAGTGCCTTAAGAAGGCTACAAAGAAAGTGATACCAGACTGTTGGAAGGGAGACACATGAGTTAGGAAAATCAGGGATGCTTTTGTGGTGCCGATAAGCCTTGAAGCAGCCTGGAAGCAGCAGATGGGATTTCAACAGGAAATGAGGAAGTGCACTAGGTGAAAGGAAAGGCCTGAACAAAGATACAAACACAGGAAGGTTTGAGGTGTTGTGGAGCTTAGGTTAACTGTTGGAGAATTATAGAAAGAAGGTTGGAAAGGTATGTTAGGTCAGATTGTGGACAGCCTTGAAAGCCAGGCTAGAACTATGTTCCTCATTTAGAGGGCAGTGTGAACTCTTGATGGGATGTGAATGTGGGGACAGTGTGATAGGAGTATACCTTGGGAAAATTAGTCTGGTGGTAGGTATGGTGAATTGAAATGGGATAAGGAAGGCATTTATCTTCTTACAGAGGTGAACCAGGATGTTGACAAAGGTAATGGAATAATAGGATGAATGTAAGACAGACAGATTAGTGATAACTTAATACATGTGTAGGGGAAATGGCTGTGGTTTAGTCAGGAGTAGGCTGAGGTGGCCTTTCTGCACAGCATGACTCAGTGGGTTTGGAGTGCAGGCACACAACCTCGCACATTATGTAACCATGCCACATGAGCTCATGCTTGGCTCAGAACCACTGTTGTCTGTAAAAGGTATAATTACCCTGCTTACGCTGTACATATGGCTTGCTCACACCCAGAGAAAGAGTAAAGCCATGTGGAAACTGTCTTTGATTCCTCGAGTGTTTTTCCAGCTACCTGCCACTTGCCCACCGACTCCCCTCAGACCTCAGTTAGAACCTGACAACATGACTAAACAAAATTATCTTTTTCTTCAGAGCTGTTCTAATTTAAAATATTACTGATAGTTTCTTAATGGGCGACTGTACATGCCAACCTTGAAGGTCCAGAGATAGTGTTTGGATCCAAGTTTTAATCAAAACTGCCACAGGGAAGCATGATATCATAGTGCCTCTTTTTTTTTTTTTTCCCTTTTTTAAAGTACTAATTCCTTCATTTTGTGACAGTTGCCCTATTTGTAGGTTAGGTCTGAGTTCAACGGATCACAGTGTGGGAGACAATCAGTTTCTTCAGGAAATCTTAGAAAATATACAATTTGGTGTGAATTTTTATGGCAGATATTTTGAGGACTGTATTCTCTTTTTGAATATGTAGCAGCATTTCTGCTTCATGTTCAGGTGTGAACATACCTTAAAATGATGGTATAAAAATAGCACTTGGCTCACAGTGGGCTGTCAAAAGTGAGCATTGGTTTGGAATGATCTCTAAGACATGTATCAAGTTCCCAGTTTGTTCATTTCATTTTCACTATTTTCTGTAAAGTATGTAATTAGTGTAATGCAGTACTAGTTAATTGGAATGCCAAAAATTGGATTGGTAGGGGGATTACTGCTTTTTAAAAAAACTTGCTGAAATTACCATTAATTCATGCTTTTGTATTTTTCTCTCTTATTGCTGTTTCTCCCTCGCTTTCTCAATACCTAAAGATTTACAAACATGTAAAGTGTTGAGAAAGTAGCTTAATCACTCATCTGAGAGTTCTTCTGTCAAGCTTGGATAAGACTGTTTTTCCTCTAGTGTGATATATTTTATTGTAGTGTAGTCAGTGTTAGTAATGATGCATTAAGTAGTGAGGTCATTGTTTTGGCAGCATGGTTCAGCCTTTGGTCTTAGTGAGGGTGAGAGAAGTATGTCTTGATACTCAGTAACAGTCCATTTGAATAAATGGCATTTCAAAAAAACAGTTGACTACAGCCAAAAGACTAGTGTCTCTTGCTAAAAATTTAGCAGATTAGGATTCCACTTATTTAGAAATGAACACACTTTGATTTTTCCTAATGTTGATTGTCATGCTAGTAAATTGAAGACACCTGCTTGGTGCCACTGCAAAAGTGACTTATAATGGGTCTGTATTTTTTATTTTGTAACTATTTTTTAAAACTTGTTGGCTGGTCTGAGTGCAGTGGTGTTTACGACTAATTGATCACAACCAGTTACAGATTTCTTTGTTCCTTCCCCACTCTGCTTCACTCAACTAGCCTTAAAAAAAAATAAAATAAAAAAAAAACCTTGTCAAGTGGATCCTAAGAAGCAGCATTTAGTCCTGTTCTATTTCTATTGCAGTTATTTATTTTCCAGTTCATTTACAATAAACCTTTTAAAATTTACTCGTAGGATGATAGTGTAAATTTTTGTGAATACAGTTGATACTCATTATTCATGGACTTTATATTTGCAAATTTGCCTGCTTGCTAAACCGTATTTATAACCTCAAACTCAGTACTCACAGTACCTTTTAGTCATTCAAAGACACACACAGAGCAGTGAAAAAAATTTTTGTTGCCCAACGTGCACATTCCTAGCTGAGGTTAGACAAGGCAATGTTCTGACTTCTTGTTTTAGTTCTTATCTTGTAAAAAAGTGTCTTTTTTTTGAGGTCCGTTTAGTGCCTTAATTTTTACGTTTTTGTATTTGGTTGATGTTTCACTGTTTAAAATGGCCTCCGTGAATAGTGCTGAAGTGTCGTGGCAAGAAACCTATAGTATGCCTTATGGAGAAAATATATGTCAGATAGGCTTCATTCAGATGTAAGTTATAGTGATTTACAGCTGTTGGCTGTGAGTTCAGTATTCATGAATCAGGAATATATATTAAATAAGATGTCTTTAAATAGCAACACACATTAAAAAAGGTTATGTATTGATTGGTTAACAAAAATGTTGTCATTATAGGCTCATAGGAACCCAACTTTGTATTTTTTACTAGTAGCAAGGGGTCAATGTTCACTAATTCAGTGTTTGCAGCGTACAGGAACCCAACCTTGTATTTTTTTCCAAGGAGCAATGGGTCAGTATTTCCTAATTCAGTGTTTATAGCAAAATAGCTGCCATGAGTAAGGATAATCAACTTTATTTCTTTAGATTATCTTTTATTTATACAACAGTAATGATAAAGAAAGCTTTATACTGTTTAGGTTAAATTCAGACCCACCAAAAATAGAACTGATTTATCTGACAGGTTCTTCCTCCCCTTCCCAGTTTTCCTTGGCTCCCTGCTTCAATTCTGTTTCCAGAAACTGCAGTATTATTTGTCCATAGCAGGGAAAGTTTTCTACCTGCTCTTTTCGGAGCAGTTTTTCAAATTTGGAACTATGTTTTAATTTTTAATAGAACATATTATCCCAGTAATATGCTATCTAAAAATAATGTATTATTATTATTACAGGTAGCTCAACTATTCTGTAGTCTACTTTGTGTACTATCATCATTACTTTCTTCTTGACAGATTTTTGAATAACTCTCTTCTGCCATTTTCTTGTTTAGGTTAGATTCAAACCCACTGTATTTGTAACCTCAAACTCAGTACTCGCAGCATTTTTAGACATTCAAAGCTGTTCACAGAGCAGTGAAAGAATCTTTGTTGCTCAAGATGCAGGTTCCTAGCTGAGGTCAAAGAAGACAATGTTCTGCCTTGAATACAAATCAACAATGTTTCTTTTTCTTTTTTTGAGATAGAGTTTCACCCTGGTCACCCAGGCTGGAGTGCAGTGGCATGATCTTGACTCACTGCAACTTCTGCCTCCTGGGTTCAAGCGATTCTTCTGCCTCAGCCACCAATAGCTGGGATTACTGGTGCCTGCCACCATGCCCAGCTAATTTGTTGTATTTTTAGTAGAGGTGGGGTTTCACCATGCTGGCCAGGCTGGTCTGGAACTCCTGACCTCAGGTGATCCACCTGCCTGGGCCTCCCAAAGTGCTGGGATTACAGGCAGGAGCCACTGCGCCTAGCCCATTCATTGACTTCTAGCCCATTAATCTTTCAAGTTGACTATTCCACACCATTATTCAGATAATCTACTCTTTGTTGATTGTATTAATTCCTCTGTCTTACATCTAAGATTATTTGCTTTCTCTTACTTTTATCCTGTCTTTATCTCTTAAACTGTCATTAACTCTTTTCCTGCTCCTCCTTTTTTTTTTTTTTTTTACTTTTTCTCTCTCTGTACTTCTCTTCCACTTATTAAAAATCCAGTGGAGAGTAAAAACTGCTGGTCTCAGGGCCTCGTCTAAACCTCAGGTGTTCTGTTTGGTTGACACAGTGCTTTACAAACTGCAGCCAACATTCTGAAATTATCTTTTTGGGAAAGTTTTTTTTTTTTAATTACAAATTTAATTTTAAAAAAGAATATAGGGCTATTTCAATTTTCTCTTTACTTTTGTGTCAGTTTTAGTAAGTTGTGTTTTTCAATGAATTTGTTAATTTCATCTCAATTATTGAACATATTGGCATATAGTTATTTGTAATATTCCTTTTTTATTTCTTTAATGTCTTTAGGTTCTGTGATATACCATGTATATCCTCTTTCATTCCCGGTGTTGCTAATTTTTTTCCCTGTTTTTTTCTTGATCAGTTGTATTAGTAGTTTATCAATATTATTAACATTTTGAAGAAACTAATTTTGGTTTGTATTTCCTCTGTTGCTTTTCCGTTTCATTGTTTGTTGTTTCATCACTTCTTTTCTATTTCATTACTTTTTTTTAGTGATGTAGCTACTTTAAGATTTTTTTCTTCAGCAGATGCATCAATATACTTATAATTTCCAGTAATTCTCATTATACTCCTGGTTATTGCCTGAATTACTTGGTAGTGGCGATTTTTACCCCTATTTACATTTTGGCTGTTGCCATTATCTTTTTTCACTTTCAAACATATTACCCAGTCACATATTCTCAGGTTTTAAATTAAAACCTCATGTATAGTTAAATATTCTTTTTAGAAAGTGCTGTTTGTTTTTAAATACCCTAGCAGGGTTGTTGATGTGTCAGGTATGTGCTATGTGCTAAGTGTTAATTTTCAGAACAGACCAATGAGGTAGGTCCTCCACTTCACAGACTGAGGACACCGAAGCTTAGAGAATCCTCATTTACCAAATAAGAAAACTGGAACTGATAAAATATATTAGTGGGGAGTCATGGATAAGTGATAGAAAACCCAAACTATCCTGGCTTAAGCAGAAACAAAAATTTACTAACAAGTTACAGGTGAGGATTGATGCAGGGGCTCAGACCAAGTGCCCAGGACCTGCTTTCACATTACTTTTTGGTTTCCCTTCTGAGATCACTCTATTTTAGGATTAACTCTAACTTCATTGCCTAAACATGACTCCAGAAACTTCAACCCTAGTTATTTCTAGTTCTGTTCTGTTTCTCTAATAGCTAAGATAAAAGTCTTAGAATTGGCTTTGTCACAGTTTTGATTATGTTTCCATCGCTGGTACAGTCATTCTATCTAAGGGAACGTTTTATACTTATTCACTTAAACCTAGGTCACAAACTGCATCCTACAGCCTAGAATGGGACCAAACTGAAGCATGTAAGACGGGGAGTGATTCCCTGAACAAAAAAGTGGTATTGCTGCTAGAAGGGGATTGGATGCTAGGGGAAAACATTAATGTCTACCAGAGAGTCTGGTACCTTGCCAAAGACATAGCTGATGAGAATGGAGCCACGGATTCAACCTAGGCAGCCTGATTCTAAGCTTTTATGCTTAAACTATAGCCTGTGCTGCCTCCTGTTCTACTCTAGTCAGTCTAAAGTTAATCTTGGTTTAGCATTTTTGTGTGTTTCTCATTTTTAGTGAAATAACATAAATAAGAAATTATGGTGTGTCTATTGTAACTCTTCTCTTGTGTTAATTAACATTGTGAGTTAAGAATCATTAGGATATCCTTCTGAGACAGTTTTTATCTTTAGTAATTTGATGAAACATAGTTTTCGTTTTTTTGTGTGACTGTGTATAGTTGTCGCTCATAAAATATAGAGAAGACAGGTTTTAAGTTTCTTTTCTTGGTTCATTCATTTAATGAATATTTCTCAAGGGTCTAGGTCTGCTATGCATCATGCATTACACCAGGTTCTGCAGGGTAGTACAAATTTAAAATAGAGATGGCCTGTGCTCTCATAGAATTTATAATATGCTGGGGAACGGAAAGTGTTAATCCAGTCTGTTAGGTGTTGTTAAGGAGAGGTGTGCTGTGCTGAGTAAAGACTACAGAAGATTGAGCTGAGATCTGAAGGATACATGGGTTAACAAGGCAGGAAGAGGAATGGGAATATTATTCCAGGCTCCAGGAAAAACCATGCAAACGATGGGTGTTGTGTGTGTGTGTGATTTCTTTGTGATAAAAGAAATTATGTACATGTGCAGTGTTTACAGTGAATATAAGGAACTTGAAGTGGTAAGGATAGTCTATCTTTTCTTTTTTATCAGGAAGACACTTCTTTCAAAGACCTCCTGCCTCCTCCCCTCCCATCTCCTCCCGTGTTCTTCCTTTTATGTTTTTTGAAACAGTGTCTCATTCCGTCACCTAGACTGGAGTGCAGTGGCGTGATCATAGCTCACTGTAGCCTCCATCTCCTGGGTTCAAGTAATCCTCCTCCCTCAGCCTCCCAAGTAGCTGGAACTACAGGTGTGCACCAATACTCCTGGCTACTTTATTTTTATTTTTATTTTTTTATTTTTTGTAGAGCTGGTCTCACTATGTGGCCCAGACTGGTCTCGAACTCCTGGCCTCAAGTAATCCTCCTGCCTTGACTTCCCAAAGTGCTGGGAAGGAGCCACTGTGCTGGGCCTCAGATACTCTTTCCAAGACTTTTTTTTCCCTAAGGCTAATCCCTTTTTGTGTTCTTATCAGTCCTTTCCAGCCTTTTTTATGATGTTGGGCCATTGCTCATCCTTTATTGTCTGACATCTTCAATTCTTACCTTTCATTCTTCCAACAGTTTCTTCCCTTCAGTCTCTTCATCTTTGGAACCTGACTCTGACCCTCCCTGACTGCTTGTTCCCTGAGGCTTTCTTCCTTTGTACCTGGTAGGTAGGACTTCTGTTAGAACATCTATTTCATTTTTTGGCCACTTTTTATATTTCTGTCTCTATTCCTAAGTTTCAGGTTATTAATGTGTCACTTTCTCTCTATATCCTTTGCGTCTAGCGGAATGCATAAGTCCATGATTAGTGTCAGTAAATGTTCTTTGAGTCCTGTAGATTTTGATATGTGCAAGGGTTTATTTTTTAATTTAAAAATTATTTTAATGTTTTTTAGATACTAAGTCTCACTGTGCTGCCTACAGTGGACTCAGACTCCTGGGCTCTAGCAGTCCTCCTGCATCAGCCTCCTGAGTAGCTGGGACTACACAATGTGCAGGAGTTTTAAACCACATTATGGTAGTGTTACAGGTCCACCACCACTTACCCAAAGGTAGCCGTTGGGTCAGGATTTTTGCACCATAGTCCCTTCTGTGGTCGCCAGAAATATGTTACAGGAAAGGAGTCCTGATCCAGACCCCAAGAGAGGGTCCTTGGATCTGTGCAAGAAAGAATTCAGGACAAGTCTGTGGTACAAGAAAGTTCATTAAGAAAGTAAAGAGGGCCGGATACGGTGGGTTACACCTGTAATCCCAGCACTTTGGGAGACTGAGGTGGGCAGATCACAAGGTCAGGAGTTCAAGACCAGCCTGACCAACATGGTGAAATCCCATCTCTACTAAAAATACAAAAATTAGCTAGGCTTGGTGGCATGTGCCTGTAATCCCAGCTACTCAGGAGGCTGAGGCAGGAGAATCGGGAATTGTTTGTAGCCAAGAGGTGAAGGCTTCGGTGAGCTGAGATCACACCATTGCACTTCAGCCTCGGTGACAGAATGAGACTCCCGTCTCAAAAATAAAAAAAAAAAGTAAAGTAGTCAAAGTACAGCTACTCCATAGGACAGAGAAGGGCGTTCCCAAGAGTAAGAGGAGGAACACTTCCATACTAGGTACAATGCTTGTATATGTGGGAAGATGTGCTCTGCTACAAGGGTTTTTGATAAAGGATTAATTTTCTTAATTACTACATTTTGCAAGAATCAATATTATCTTTGAAGCAAAATTAGGAATGCCTTTTTTCTCAGATATCGGGATATCTGGACACTCCCAAGTCTGGGTCTATTTAGTAGACCTTATTAATTTGTTCCCTTAAGCATACACATCTAGAGGCTAGGAATGCCTGACTTCCTAGGAATTCAGCCTAGCAAGGCCCAGCCACATTTTCCTAGCCCTCTCTCAAAACGGAGTCACTCTGGTTCGAACACCTCTGATAGTAGGGATATTCTAATGATTTCACAAGATAGAACCCAGTTGAAGGACTTTAATTTTTCATGTTTCCATATTATTGGCTCCTGGAATTGGGGAATATACTCCTTCCTTAATCAGAAACTTTATTATTTCTATACAATTCTCTGATATAGATTCATGGTCTGTTAATTCGAACGTGAGCAACAGTTTGATAGGTTTTATATGGTTTGCATAGTTTATTTTCTTTTGTAGATTTTGCTGTGGGGATTGGGTAAATACTGAAGATTTCTTAAAGGTAATTTTTGTCACTAAATACTTTTTAATTAAGCATTTTACTTTGAAAAAAGTTTCAGACTTAGAAAAAGTTACAAGTGTGATGCAGTGAATTCCGTAAATTCTTCAACTGCCTGGATTCATCCATTGTTGACATAGTCATCATTATATTTTAATTAAACCATTTTTTCTACAGTATTATTTTTTATACTTCGTTTTTTTAGCAGTTGCTCTAAGGGTTTATGATACGCATTTGTAATTTATCAGTCTACTTTCAAATAATATACTATTTCACATATAGAATAATAACCTTTTAAAAATATACTTCCATTTCCCTTTTCTGTTGTTACTGTTACTCATTTTACTTCTGTATAAGCTGTAAACCCCACAATATGTTACTATTTTTTATTTATATAGCTACTTATCTTTCCAAGAGATAAAATGAAAAAAAAAAATTATCTTTTATATTTACCCACATTTTGCCATTTTCTGTGATTGTTATTCCTTTTTGTTGATCCAGATTTCCCCTGAAGAACTTCCTTTAACATTTATTTTTATTATGCAGGTCTGTTGGCAATGAATTCCCTCACTTTTATTTTCTGAAATGTCTTTATTTTGCCTTCATTTTAAAAATATATTGTCACTGGACATACATATCTAGATTGACACTGTTCTTTTTTCCATCAGTTTAAATATGTTACTCCATCTTCTAGTTTGCACAGATGAGAACTCTGCCATCGTTCTTTTTTTTCCATAATGTGTGTTATTTCATTTTATGTTACTATAAAGGAATACCTGAAGCTGGGTAATTTATAAAGAAAAAAGGTTTATTTGGCTCATGATTCTGAATGGCTTGAAAGTTTAAAATTGGGCATCTGCATCTGGGAGGGTCTCGAGTGGAAGGTGAAAGGGAGCCAGTGTGTGCAAAGATTACATGGTGAGAGAGGGGGAGGGGCAGGCGTGGGGGGTGGGCAATGTGCCAGGCTCCTTTTAATAGTCAGCTTTCACAGGAACTTATAGAGTGAGAACTCAGTCACCCGTAAGGGAGGGCATTAATGTGTTCAAGAGAGATCTACCCCCATGAACCAAACACCTCCCATTAGGCCTTACCTCCAACACTGGGGATCAAATTTCAACATGAAGTTTGAAGGGGACAAATGTCTAAATCATAGCAGTAAGATTTCGTTTTTCTCTGGCTGCCTTTAAGACTTTCTTTTAGTTTTTTAGCAGTCTGACTATGATATGGTTTTCCCTGTATTTCTCCTGTTTGGGATTCTCCAACAAATTAATTTTGGAAAATTTTCAGCCATTATCTCTTCAGATATTTCTTTTGCTTCTTCCTCTGGGATTCCAATTACAAATATGTTAGCCTGTATTGTCCTAGGGCTCTGGGATGCACCATTCTGTTTTCTCACTCCTCGTTTGTTTCTGTTTAAATAATTTTTATTGATCTTTTTTTAAGGTTGCAGAGTCTTTCCTCTGTTTCCAGTCTGCCGATAAGCCTGTTAAAGAAATTCTTCATTCTAATATCATCTCTTTCAATTTGGCATTTCCTTTAGACTTTGTTTTATGGTTCCCATCTCTCTGCTGGAAATTTCTCATCTGTTAGATATCATACACATTTTCCACTAGATTTAAAAAAAGATCAGTCACAGGTGTTTTGACATGCCTGTCTAATAGTTCCGATATCCAACACATGCCTGGTTGTGTTGCCGTTTTCTCTTCTGTCAATGAGTTGTTTTACCTTTTTAAAAAGATGCATCTTATAATTTTTGATTGAATGTCACACATTACATATAGAGTAATAGTAGAAACTGTGATATTTACACTCAGACGTGTAGTACATTTGTTTTTTCTGACAGGTAGTTAGGTTGAGTCAATCTAGTAAGTAGTTGAGCTAGATTTGGAGTATATTTTGCTATTTTTACCATCAGTGCACCACAGACTTCAAATTCCTCCAGTGGTAGGCCACTGCTACCTTGCTTTTAATTCAGGGCCTGCAATTCTAGAGGTTTTTTCCCCATTGTTCTTGTTCTACTCTTAGCTGACACCTTATCCTATATATCTTTGTAGGATCTTTCTCCATGGCTCTTGCCCCTCTCCAAAAGGCAGATGCTGTTACTTGTTACTTGGGTAACAAGACTTGTAGTGGGGGCAGAAAAGGTTTTGCAGTTTTCCTGTTTCACATCAGTCTTAGACAGGTTTTATGCATCTGAGCCCCAGGGAATGAGCTTTCTCATTGCTTCTATTCTTCCCCAAAGGGAGATAACCCCTGCAACCTACTCAATGCAGCATATAGAATGCAGGCAGGTTTCATGCTTCTTTCCTTTGTGGCAGCTGGACTTTGCCTTGTATCAGGCGGGAAAGGCAGGGCAAAGGTTCTAGGATGTGAACAGTTTCCCTGTCTCTTTTCCAGTGCTAGAGGATCACTGTTTTGTATTCCCGAATCTGGGTATGAGCATATTTTCTGTTTTTGCCCCCGTATTTAGCTAGCATTTGCCTAGTGTCAGTGCGGGATAAAGGAGAGTGTGTGTTTTCTACTCTTTCCAACAGCAGTTAGTCTGCCTCCTTTCAGTACAGGACTAGCGTCAGAGGCATTACTTCCCCTTCCCATCAGTAGATGGCGTTTGTCTCAAGATTGGATCTGTGATGTAGGTGAAATTCCCACTTCACCCTAGCAGTAACTCATTCACCTTGTACTCCTATAGGCTTTAAGTGTGGATGAACTTTTCTTTGTACTCTTGCACTACCCTCCAATCTTGCTGCAGGTATTACACAACTGTGCTGCCAGTGGTCCTTTTTCGGGTCTGTTTTGCTCATAATATTTCTCATGAGTGTCTCAAGATGTGAAAGATGATGAAAAAAGAGTTGTCAAGGAGGGACAGAATACCCTGCGTTTGAGGTTCTCAGGGATTCTAAATTGGCTCTAGTGCACACTTGGCTCTTAGAGTTGGTTAAAATTTGTTTTATGGTGACATCTCATTTTTCTGTGCTGTGCTGAAGCTGAAATGGTTCATGTGGTTCATCTCCTCAGAGCGGCTTGTCACCCTTTGGAATTTAGATCATCTGGTTGCCTTATGACCTCACCTCTCTGATGGGCTCAGAATTTTATGATTTTTAAAATAGATTGTCTGCCTTTTTGTTAAGGGTGAGAACAGTGTTTTCTTGTGGCTTTCTACGTTTTTCCCAGTTTTTTAATTTTTATTTTTCATTGATACATAACAATTGTACATATTTATGGGCTACCATGTGACGTTTTAGTACATGAATACATGTGTAATGATCAAGTCAAGGTTATTAGCTATTGATCACCTCAAATATTTATCGGGGTTTTTTTGTGTGGGAACATACAATCTACTCCTTCAGTTTATTTTATCTTAATGAATGTTTACAACTGAGTTGTTTTGGAGAATAGGAAATAGCCAAGAGCAGAAGGACTCATTTGGCTTTAATTTTTTTTCTGTCAAAGTGACTAACAGCAAAGGTAGTTTAGTGCTGCCAACTGTCACTGTTAAACCTAAGGCATAGACAGTCAGGGAAATGAACCCATGGAGTTGAAAAGAGATGGAGGAAGGCAGGAAAACTGATTTTTTTTTAAAAAGAGATTACTTGTATAATAT